CGTTGACAACAGAGTTCGACAACCAGCGGCAGCAACAATCCGGCAACTCGCCAGTAACAAAGTCCGACAAACCATTGACAACAAAGTTCGAAAATCGTCGGCAGTAAAAGTCCGGCAACCCGCCAGAAACAAAATCTGACAACTGTCAGCAGCAACAGTCCGGCAACCCACCGGTAACAAAGTCCGACAATCCATTGACAACAAAGTTCAAACTCACCCCGAAGCTTCGACAAGATAGAAACCCGTCAGAGGGTAAACAGACTAAAATTTTTATTCTAATTTAAATTACGGGTAAAACTCCTGTTTGGGGAAGGTACCTCCAATGACCTTGTCCTTCACATATATTATTCGCGCTCGAGTTTGCGCTCGCGTTTGCGTCCGAGAAATCGACAGCCAGCAAGTGACATGTGCTGGTATCATTGGCAATTCAGACCGGATGCCCACAAATGCAGACCGCCCTGCTCGGTACAGCAAAAGGAAAACGCGTCAAACGATCGTTGATGGCGGCGAGTGATTCGGGGCACTGCACACTGCACGCATTGCCTTTTCATAACGAATACGACGCGACGACTAAAATAAATTTTTTAGTGGACACGGGCGCGGATCTCTGCGTGTAATCACGACGATATACACATACGAGACAGCGTTAAAGATGTGTGTCGGTATAGTTATATGAGGTAAAGGCGGGAACACGAGCATCTTTTAATTCGTGATGCGGAGCACAGCCGCTAATTTATTTCGATTGTTAATAGATACGAGAGAGAGGACGGCACTTCGAACAATTTTTGCATTAAATAATGAGAGTGGATTAGGCCTATCGGGGAAACCACTATAAAAAAAAACGCACCAAGCTATCTACCACAAGGTGGTGTGGAAATCATAGCATATCATTTTCCTGCCATTGAAAAGGCGAGAGGCTAAGAGAATCCTTTTTTGCAGCAGTGTATTCTGATTCCATCTAAAACGAAGACCGAAGGGATACACTCTGTTTAGTGTCCCTTCGTCCTCTCTCTTTCGCCCATGCGTACAAAATATACGCATTTCAGTTCCTCTTTTGCAACGCTCCTTCCACAAAGGTGTGTTTCGTACGTCACTAATTAACGAGTCATTAAACGTCTGAGCGATAGAAGCGCGTCTGGCGAGCGACAGATGATATATCAGATGGAATCTGTCCACTGATGTGTATTGCCCGAACTTGTATTCGACCTGTCATACTTTATATTTTTTAATATTGCAGCTAGTGGTAGCAGTATTATTGACCCAAAACCCCCAAGTTCCTCAAGCTTGACGACCAATTTTTTTAAAATTTAATGTCTCCTCCGAAAGATAGCCCAGTTTTTCCGCACAAGCCCCACTCGTGCGGGGGGTGCAATTTGGAATATAAAAATTCCTGTAATCAGGTGGACTCGAACCCGGTTCTTCGGGGTTACGAGTCTGGCGATTTACCACAAGACCACACTGCCGTTATTGTAATGGATTTTTGTCTTTAACCACATGATTATTTAAAAAAGGCGAGAAACTGTCATTGCTCAGGACGCGGGTCCAGCGTTACGCGCCGCTCGTGCGAAACGACATTCTCGCCTCGAAAACGACCATGTTTTATTGGCCCAAGCAAAATCGCTCGATCTCCGGTTTTTCGCGGGCATACTTTATTTTGAAAGTCAAAAAACGGCTCGTTGAATATCAAGGATAACTGGTCGCACGAAAATTAAAGACGAAAGGAAACGTGGAGCAAAAGTCAAAGAAAATCCTCGAAAGTATCAAAGCGTTTACTTGGACTCCAAATTTTTATATCCACTACTAAATAAAAAATTGCAAATAGTCGTTGTCATTTTACTGCCTTTCTACATCGTTGGGCCAGAAACTTTTGGATCTTACAACGTATAATTTTTAATACGACAAATCTGCTACGTGAAATTATAATTTAATAGTTAATTCTAATAAGAGAAATCACAAAAAGAATTTATAAATTAAAGTAAAAATATATGGAAGATATACACAGCTAAAACTGTGTCGATCAGTGACAACATGTTGAAGAAGGATGCGGACGCAGATGGTTTGGTTTGGCCTTGCAAAGTCAGACTAAATCATCTGCGTCCGCATCCTTCTTCTGTACTACAACTGATTTGACGGATGGTGACGTCCGCCGCACATTCCACAGGACAGAAATGCAAAAATTAAAAATTTTACAGGAATGTAAAAATAATAAATAATTGAATCGGAGCATATATGTACAGGCATATCTACATCTTGACAAACTGCAGATTATCCGTATAGTTTTTCTATTAATTTACTGATTTGACTGTGCTTTGTTAACCGACATACTATACAATATTTTTTCTTAATTGTTAGACAGCGTAAATTGAGCGTTAATTTTCCATATTTAATTTTTTATGTATATTTTTGCGCTGAAGATGACCCAAAGAAAGAATGAAACGTCCGAGTTTGTAATGACTAATATATTTCTTTGACGTATTTGATGAAATTGATTGCACACCAATTACCGCGCGTGGCTTCTGTTACGTACAGGAAATTTCATATTAAAATTTCGACAATGCACGTTGAAAATTTTGAACACTTAAACGACGCACGCTAGCCTCGGAGTTCCGAGCGAACACTCCGGTCAATGTAAATGTTTATCTTATCGGACGACCGTTGGAGGGCTGGGGGCCAGATGGGGCCCAAAACTACGTTCTAGAAACTTCTAGAAAACCTCCCCCCTTAAAACGCGAAGGAAATGGCGGGAATCTCGCGCGGGCATTTTCGGGTATAAATAGGGCAGAAAATGCCGCAAAGAGACAGATAGTTTTTTAACTTCAGCTCTAGCACATCGTTTTAACTTCGGCTCTCGACTCTATTTCAGACAGCGACTTTCCGACATTCGACGTTCAAGTCCGAACATTCGCGTTCGATTCTAGGACTTAATCCCTGTACTATTATACTACCAGGACCGCGCTTCACGCACAACTCAGTTTGCATTAAGATCTTTAGAATAAAGGTAAGATAAGTTTGAAAAAGAGAATAAGCTTGAAATCTGGGATCTGACCTCGTATTAAAATTCTTAATCAATCACTTCTAAGATTCGACTAGCAGTTTTCGCTGACAAAGAGCGTGGCGATCTGTCCTGGGCGCTGACGAAGAGTGTGGCGAACTGATACTTTCGCTGCCGAAAAGCGTGGCGATTACGAGGTTAATTCTTAGAAATTGCAACAATCGTTATTAATTCCCGAAAGTGAGTTTGGCTTTTACGCTGACGAAGAGTGTGGCGAATTGGCTTTGAGCGCTGACGAATAGTGTGGCGAGCTTAAAATTCATTTTCGAGAACGCGGGCTGAATGACGAAAAAGGGAGGTAGACGAGTTCAAATCAAACGAATCAGGTTTCAAATCAAACAAGCTGTTATTTCTAATCGAGATCCTCTCCCCCTTCTCCAGCAATTGCAACAATTAGAAAACGCACCTCCATTCAAACCTATTCCTGTCGATTTTGACATTGATTATCCTAATTATAATCAAATAGACAAAAGTGCTCCTCGTTACGCAACTTATAAACTCAGATATCTTTTCGGTTCCGTATAATAATAGTAATAATAATAACCTTCACACGACTTGTCCAAATCCCTGGTAAATTGCTTAAATGCATTGACCAAAAAACGGACAAACAACAGACAGAACGTGACACTCCTATTGCCTCTCTCACTTTCCTTTTTTGATTTATTCAAGAGAGCCTATATACCGTTATTAGTAAATAATAATTATTCTAAGCCTCTTTTTTATTAGGTAATTTATTAATTGTATGAGCCTCTGTATTTATTTTTTGCATTGCAAATAAGTTTTATCCATCTGTCTAACTATCGTCTATATGTATATTCATTTTATCCCATTTTTTCTCTTTTTGTTCGGCCGCCAATTATAAAACTTTTGGAGGTCATAAACATGTAGTGGACAGAGATCAAAGCAGACAAAGCGAAGTAAACTACAACAATTCTATAATCACTCGTGTTACGTCCTGTGAGGGGTGTATGAGCTGCCGCGCCGGCTTGTCGCAGCTTTTACGCCAACAATCATTCTACCTTTTTTTAACATATAATAAGCAACAAAGATAAAAATATTGCTTTCATCACACGCCAGGTTTACCAGGTCGCTGGCCCTGGTCGCCGTGGCGGCAATCTTCTTAGGTTCGAATTATAACGATACCCTTATAATAAGTACCTATTTACCGTGCAAGAAAATTGCGTAAATGCAAATTCCTTCCAGTATACCATTCTCTCGCGTTAAGCATACGTTATACATAAATTCTCCCACGTTTAATACAAAAATGAATGTTGATTATCTGCCAAAGACATAAAAACGTGTATAAGTATAGTAATAGTACAAGTAATCTATTTTTCTTACTCATTCATTTACGTTGAATGGTATATGTCAATTATATAACGAAAAAAATATCTGCGTTTTATTCTGTTGTTACGTCCTGTTAACTCCACGATTTCCTTCTTTCGTGGAATCACTCATCGCACAAAACAGACGGAAACCATAAAATAGCGGCTATCAATTGACGAAGCGGATGTACTCCAACTGTCATCGCTCATTAAATGGTAAATGACGAAACCTTCCAGAAAACTCGAACCTAATAAAATAGGCAAATTATAGACTTGTTTGTCGCATTCCATCTAATTCTACGAAATGAAGCACGAAATTTCAATTATCTCGAAATTTCGTGGCAAAGGGCGCAATAAATTAAAAACGCCATAAGGATCTGGGTGACCTCTCGGGTCACGGAAGGGCTGATCTCACGCTTTTCCGTGAAACGCAGATTTGACCTAAGACCCACGCCTCGCGGCGATTGATAAAATTAAGACTCTGGAAGGGACTGTCAAAGGGCAAGATGATAACGTACTCGCCAATGAATAGCCGCTAATTAAAAACTGCTCATAGACAATGACGATTTTTGGGGAAACTCGG